ATCCATTTGATCATGTTAATTCTATTTGCAACTGTTGACACTATCCAAAGCAAACAAAAGTTTATTTTCCTTTAAGCAATATTCAAACTACATCTTCTTTTGAACTAATACACATGAAGGTTTTAGGCCCTTTCACACCATCATCTGTCCATGGTCACTCTTACTTTTAACCATAGTAGATGATTTCACAAGACATACTTGGGCATTCCTCATGAAAAAAATCTAAGAGAAGAACTTGATCATGCAATTCATCAGCTTGGCTCATACACAATTTGGAAAAACCATCAAGAAGATCATATCATATAAAGGCAAAGAACTCTTAATGGATAATTATTTTGAAGAAAAGGGCATTATTCACCAAAAGACTTGCATAGAAACTCCATAACAAAATATTGTTGCAAAAATAAAACACATGTTTATTTTCAATGTTGCAAGAGCCATCATGTTTCAATCCAACGTACCAAAGTTATTTTAGAACTTTGTTATTAGTCATATAATCAATTTGATCAATAGATTGCCCTCTTTTGTCATCAACTTTCAGTATCCTTATGAACTTTGTCATCATTCTAATTATGACTACACCAACCTCGATGTCTTTTGTTGCCTTGCTTTTGCATTAACTGTTATCTAAGGGTATAAAAAATGTGACCTTCGTGCCACCAAATGTGTGTTTATTAGTTACAAATAATGAACCAAATGATACATTCTCATGAATCTCAGCACAAGAGAGATTTCATCTATAGGAATGTTTACTTTTATGAAGACTCATTTCCTTCATTGGACCATCCATCACCATTAACCCTTACTACACCAATTTTTTATTATTAATTACCTTTTCTAGACACACCTACAAACTAATCTACTTCTCCAACACCTCACGATCAAAATAATTTTTCACAACCACCTTAATATCCTTCCCAATCAACACAGGTTGTTTCACCAACACCTTTCTCCTCACAAAATATACAACCTCTTTCTCCAAACTCTCAATCCATCACATCTCAACTCTCACCCCCTTTCAACAACAAACACTCCTCTTGTCATTTCCAGAATTTCCAATAGGACCATTCATAAACCTAAAATATTTGATGAGTTTGTTTGGAATAACCTAATTGTTTCTTAGCATACCGCCACACACACACCCATCATATCCTATTCAACCTTACCTAAATAATTTTCATCTATCTACAACATACAATCACTAAATTTCTAACATCACTTCACAAATTCAACCTACCTCATACAAGCAAGCTTCTCAACATGAATGTTGGACATAAACCATGACCACTGAACTTCAAGCCTTACAACACAACAACACTTGGATCATGACCTCTCTTTCCCCAACAAGAAACATATAGGGTGTAAGTGGGTGTACAAAATTAAGATACCTGTATATGGTTGCATTGAAAGATACAAAGCACGATTAGTAGCAAATGGTTACATACAAACTCATGACATTGAATATATGAACACCTTTTCACCTGTTGCAAAAATGACAATTGTTAGATTATTATTGGCAAGTGCTGCTTCAAGGCATTGTTGTTAGAATAAGATTTGGTTATGCATATGTATCTCTAAGTTTTGATGATAACAAGTCAATATTTATGTGAGAATAATTTTAGTACCCTAAGGGTTTGTTATGGTGTATCTTTAGCAAACAACTTTGATTCTGACTCTTGAACGTGGAATGTTATAAGTTTCTGAATATATTAATCTAAATTGCTTCTGCTCAAACTCACGGACGAGAAGCTTCTAAGAAAACTGTATCTTGCTGCTACAATGTTCTCTTGGTTCTTGCTTCTAATGTGTGACTTTGATCAATTCACTTATGAATACTGCTTAAGCTTCCGAAGATTAAACGCTGAAGGTTCTAAAAACTATGAAGAATCTCAAGTCAGATATTGATGTGACCAAGCTTTTGATTGATGATTGAAGTTTCTGAACTCAAGCAAAATCAACTCTTCTAACTCATGCTTCAAACAACGATTTATCTAGAAGCCACTGAAGAATAGAAAATAAGAACGAGTTTATACGTGGGAAAAATAGTACATGGTACAAACCAATGTTCCTTCCACTAAGCGGATTTTGAGTAAGGAAGTTGAGGTAGTATGATTCTTGTCCCCTCCGTATCAAACTGTTACTCAATTTGCCAGCTCATTCATGAAGAATACCAGATCTACCCTTTAACAGATCTTTTTTACTAGCTATATAACGACTTGAAGACTTGAAGAATTATAGCATGCAAGTAAGTAAGCAAGCAAGCAAAATAACAAAGAAATTTTTACAAGACTGTTGTCTAAATTTGTGCAGAATTTTCTTTAAGTGTATTATGCTTTTAACTTGTTTATACCTGCTTGTGTAGAAACAATATTTGTAAACACAACTTTGTAATCAAATTGTTATTTGCATTTCCTTAAGGGACCAGTTAGGGCAAAATCCTTGAAAAGATATAGATTGTGGGTCTTTGTGGTTTGTTAGTCACCAGCGGTTGCTAGTGCAGTTGTAACCAAATTGTTGTTATTTCCTTAAGGGGACAGTTAGGTCAGAATCCTAGAGAAGACATAGATTGTGTGTCTTTGTGGTTTGCTAGTTACTAGCGGTTTCTAGTGCAATTGTAATCAGTTAATTATAGTGGATTAAGTCCTTGGGTATAAGGCGAAATCACCTTGGCGGGTGGACTGGATTAATTTTGAGATTTTCATGTGAACCAGTATAAAAATCAAATTGTATTTCTCTTTGTTGTTTATTAGCGGTGATTTTTATTGAGTGAGTAAAAAGCTTTTGGTTTTGAAAACCCCAATTCAAACCCCCTATTTCTTGTGTTTTTCTCACCTTCAATTGTCACTTAATTCAACTTGATGTCAACAATGCATTCCTCTATGGTGACATGGACAAATAAGTCTACATGACACCACCTCTTGGCTTGATTCCATTTGTTCTTCATCAAGTTTGCAAGTTGCGAAAATCTCTCTATAGATTGAAACATGCTAGCAAACAATGGTTTGCAAATTATCTTTTTACTTATTTCCTTCCACTACAAGCAATCTCAATCATATCACTCATTTTTTACTAAGTTTGATGATCATAAAGTCAACATCTTGCTCATCTATGTTGGTGACCTGATCATATTAGGAAATGATATTGATGAAATCCAGAGTTTAAAATTAAAACTTAACTTAATTTCAAGATCAAATGACCTTGGAAACCTACAGTTCTTCCTTGGTATTTAGGTAGTTAGCTCTTCTCAGAGAATTTCCATTTGTGGACAAAAATGTGCCTTCGAATTATTGCATGATATAGGTTTCATCGCTGCAAGACCTTCCCCTAGTCCAATGACAATATCTCACAAGTACACTACCAATGATGTTTTTCCTCCAACTGATCCCACCACTAATATAAGGCGTTTTGGACGATTAATATATATATATATATATATATATATATATATATATATATATATATATATATATATATATATATATATATATATATATATATATGCACCATGAGAATTGACCTAAGCTTTTTAATCCAACAACTAAGTTAATTCATGTCATCTCCCACAATTTTCCACTTGTCGGGTACTTATAAAGTTCTCAAATATATCAAGAAATCTCCATATCAATGATTGTTCCTTTTCCAAACATCTACTCTTTAGCTTAAAGCTTTTAGCAATTAAAATTGGGCCCCATGCAGTGGCACAAGGAGATCAATTGCGAGATTCTTCATTTTCTTAGGCGAATCACTCATATCTTGGAAATCAAAGAGGCAAATCATAGTTTATAGGTCTTGTTTTGAGATAGAGTACCGAGCCCTTGCTTCATTTGTGTGTGAGTTACAATGGCTCGCTTATTTGTTGCATGAATTCCATGTTGATTTCATCACTCATGTGCTTTTGTATTGTGACAATCAATCAGCTCGACACATTGCCGCAAATACCATGTTCCATGAAATGACCAAACATATTGAAATTGACTGCCATATTATACAAGAAAAACTACTTGCCAAACTATTTCAGTTATTGTCGATTCTAACCTCAACACAACTGGCCGACATATTCGTTAATCCTTATCCTTTCTCTCTCATCTTATCTAAGCTTAGTATCTCCATTAAATATATTCTATCAAAAATATTTCAGTTAAGTTAATTATTTAAAATCAATTTAATTTATTACTTAAGACTCAAGCAAGTTATCTTGTATATATACCTCAAAAGTTCAAATGCAAATTATGCTCAAATTGTATTTTTTTTGTCCGTTGGTATTTTATATATATATATATATATATATATATATATATATATATATATATATATATATATATATATATATATTAAATATTAACTTTCTTTTATTATAATACATGTTTTATTTTTGTTTTTTATTAATTTATTAAATTATGTGCTAATTTGTTTTAATTTAGTTTTTTCATAAAAAGATATGGTTACATTTCATTGTAATGTATAAAAAAATAGAATACAAATATTTTTTTTTCTTTAAAATATTGTATCAATTCTATTGTAGCACATGCACGAGTCTATTGGGACCATGATTATTTTACGAGTATGAATTCGTCAATTTTATAAGTTACTTTTCAGTAAAATTGAAAACTTAGTTTTATAAAATATTATTATTTTTATTTCGTTTACAGATTTGATAAAAGTAGTTTTAAAAAAATAATATTATTTTTTGTTTTATTTGTACATTTTTCTTAACGAATAAGAAATGATAAAAACAATCTTCATAAGTGGAGTAGATTTATTTGACTAAGGAAGAATAAGTAGCTACATAGTTAATTAGCATTTGGTTGAAGTGAATTGATTACACCAGTTGAGTTGTCAAATAAAATAAGGACATTTATCTACCATAGAGTACAACGTTATTATCTCTCTCCTCAATCTCCTCAATAAATAGAACAAGACCACACTAGTCCTCATTTACTCTTCACCTCTCCACACCAATTTAAAACGCGTCTTCTCTTGTCACAACTCAAACATCAAAGATGAAACATCAAGCATTCACATGGCTCTGTGTTCTGGCTCTAACCATCATAGTTTGTTCCAACACAGCAAACGGAGCAGAAGACTTGTCCAAGACATGTAGTCAGGTGGTTTCAAAGGTGATTCCTTGTTTGGATTTTGCGACGGGGAAAGTACCGAAGCCGAAGAAAGAGTGCTGTGATGCGGCCAAGAGTATTAAGGATACGAATCCGGAGTGTCTGTGCTACATCATTCAACAGACTCATAAGGGGAGTCCTGAAAGTAAGAGCATGGGGATTCAAGAGGACAAGCTTCTTCAACTTCCGGCTGTTTGTGATGTTAAAGCCAATATCTCTGATTGTCCTAGTAAGTTTTCTTTTCTTTTTTCAGAAAGACTCACAACCTATTATATTTCTTTAACACGCATTTCAATACTTGTTTTTTATTCGTTCTAATTCACGTGTTTTTACCATGAGTTTCTTTTAGACGTCTAAAACCTCTCTAAAACGGACCTTCCTTGTTAGCGTCACGTTTTGTCTTTTTTTCACCCTCTAAATATACCGTTACGGGACTTATCTTTTATTTGCAATTATTATTTTGAGATGCAACTATTATCCTTTTAAATATATAAATATATTAGACTTGATCAATATTTAAAATTTAAAAAATATTCAGAAAGACCTGCTCATAGATTATCTTAAAAATCAACGAATAATAACTCCAAAATGGATAAGAGTAGAAATCTCGTGAAATTGGATTTAAAAAACTCGTTTCTTAATTTGGAGACAAAAATTTCATTTTGAAAATAAAATATAAAAAATACATGAGATTAAATGTACTTATACTATTATTTAATAGAATTTTATTATTCAATTCTGTTATAATATTATTTTAAAAATAAAAATATGATTTGATGGGATAAACATTTTTTATTAATTGACTGTTATATTTAAATTTATTATATAGTTTAATAGTAAAAAAAATAATTTTGGATTATTGTACATAATATTTAAAGTGTGCAATTTAAAAAACATTAAAATTTACGAATCACTACTAGAATAGTGGCCTTTTTTGGACCAAATTATTCTCTTTAATTAAATGGGAGGAAGCAGTACAACTGTACAACCATACACAATTATGAATAGCTAGATACCTATATCAGTTAGGAGGATGGGATGGGAAGTTATTGCAGATGGTTGCATCTAGATAGGTCAAATAAGGGGCGTTAATTGGTACATATTCACATGTGTATCTTTTCATTTTTCTATTTTTTTATTTGTATATGTTCTATTATTCCGATTAATTCCATTTAAAAATCAGTTAAATCAGTTCTGACATGAAGTGATTTTATAGTCGAATTTTAATGGTTACTAATATGAATCTGAACTTTGATTGTCACAGAGCTTCTTGGTCTATCTCCAAGCTCCCCAGACGCAGCAATATTTAAAAATGTATCCAAGATCAACCCCCCTTCCTCCGCTGCATCATCCACCGGAACTCCAACGACACCGACCCCGAGTGCCTCACATAAGCTTAGACCTGTCATGATCAGCGACATGATGACGGTGACTGTAGCCTTTGTTCTGGCCGCAGTACCTACCGGGTTATTCACCATTAAATTGTGATGAGTTGGATCTTTTAATGCTTCACCTAACCCAACCCAAAGTGAGAATTCTGGTTGGTTCTTTTGTTTACTGCATATCTGTTTTCTGTAGGACACTTAATTGGCTTGCATCTCTCTGCTCTGTAATGGTTTCTCGAATTGTGGGAACCTGCACTTTATTTTACTGTTCTTATGCTTTCCATTAATATGGAGTACTAGTACTAGTTTGTTGCTTGTCATTTTCATACTAAGATATTTTCATAAGTTTGTCAAAAATATTCTACTAGTCAAAACATGTATTTTTATGCACTTTAAAGCTTTGATAAATGTTAAGGGTTATGAATATACTACATTCTAGAGAGCCGTCTAAGTTTTTGAAGACCTTAGCTATATTTAATCCATTGCAAATTTTATAAAAGTTGTAATCAGTCACGATTTAATTTCATAATTATTTTATGACACTCTATTTAACTATGATTTAATATTAACAAATTTAAGATTTTGTGGAATAGCGTCTTAAAAATGATTATGTATTTTTTTAATATTAAATTTGTTGGTCGAGGATTTTAATTTAAATTTGATTTTTAGTTTTAATTCATATAGAAGTGAAAAGATCCTTCTAAAATTTATTTTTTGGAAAACATCTTATAGATTGTGTTGAAATTAATGATTCATGAGATAAATTTGTTATTGTGAATGATAAATGAAGTACTTTATTAGTTTTGAATTATTGAAGTAGATGATTTTTAATCTTTAATTGTCTTTGGTCGATATTAATCAATGAAATTGACATATTCTCTTTGATATGATAATAAAGTTGTTGTGTCAAGATGGAAACTAACTAGTTTCTTTTTTAAGTCAAAAATCATGATTTTTGGTAAGTCGGGTTATATGTATCATGGTGGATTATTCTTTTCTATTGATTGTTCTATATTTGATTATAAACAAATTGTAAGTGAGATATTCAACTCTAGGAGTGAATAAAAAAAATTGTATTTCAAACTCTTGTGGTTATTGAACATTTCAAATTTGAAATTAAATAGATAATGCTTTTACATTTTTAACACGAATATCGTGGCTGCCAACTCTAGATCATGCGTAAAATAATTCTTCTCATGAACTTTTAATTGTCTAGAAGCATAAGTCACGACCTGACCAATATATATCAACATACCACTCAGACCCATCTTCAAAGCATCACAATACACAACAAAGAATTCACTTAGACTTGGCAAAATCAAAACTGGAGTAGACGTCAACTTCATCTTGAGTTCCTGAAAATTCTTCTCACACTACACATTCCAAACATAATTCTGACCATTTTGAGTCAACTGAGTTAAAGGCAATGCCAACTTCGAAAAACCTTTAATAAATCTCCTATAATAACCGACAAAACCTAGAAAATTTCTAATCTCTATAACAGACTTCAGAGTCTCCCATTGCAACACATCATCGACCTTCGATGGATTAACATCAATATCACCACTATAAATTACATGCCCGGAGAAACCCACCTCTCGTAACCACAACTCACACTTGGATAACTTCGCATACAACTTCTTTTCTTTCAAGGTCTACAACACAACTTTCAGATGCTCCACGTGCTCTAAATCAGACTTAGAATATATCAAAATATCGTCGATAAACACAACCACAATGATCTAGATAAGGATGAAAAATCCTATTCATATACTCCATAAACACACCAGACAAGTTAGACACTCCAAACGGAATTACAAAATACTCATAGTGACCATATCTCTTTATAAATGCAGTCTTCAGAATATCTTCAGGTTTCACTTGAATCTGATGATAACCCGACCGCAAATCAATCTTACTAAATAAGCAAGCACCAACCAACTGATCCATCAAATCGTACATATTCTTAATATTCATTTTATTCAGTTGTCGACAGTCAACACACAACCTCATGCGACCATCTTTCTTCTTGACTAACAACAATGGTGTTCTCCACGGCAAAATACTCGGTCGAACAAACTTTTTCTCAAACAACTCTTCCAATTGTTTCTTCAGCTCAATCAACTCTCAAGCAGATATTTTATATAGTGAATTTCACCTCACGCTTTGGCGGAAAATCATTGATATCGTCTTGAAACATTTTTGGAAAATCGCACACCACGGGTAATTCACCAATCGTAGCTTTGTTATTCGCCTTCATATAAGCTAATACCATAAACACCTTAACATTATTCTTCACGAATTCATCCACTCTCTTAGCAGACACGAACAACTCGTCACTTGCATCAATTTTGGAAATGGCATCGACTTGTCGATACAGTTGATATAAACATGGTTGAACTCTAACCAATTCATTCCAAAGATAACATCGATTTGATTCAACGGTAGATAAACCAGGTCCATCCCAAAATTCTTGCCATAGATAGTCAGCAGACAATTCAAACACACCAATTAAGTAGTGACCGAACCATTAGTTGGGGTGTCGATAACCATACTCCCAACCATATAAGACAATTTAAATCCAACCTCTTTGCATACTCAATTGAAATAAAAGAATGTGTTTCACATGTGTCAATAATGGCAATCAGTGAAATACTATTAATAAAACATGTACCTCAAATCAATATGTTTGCGCTAGTAGTCTCTGACCCTGTTAAAGAAAAAAAATCCCCTTCAAGCTGGACCTTCTTCGGTTTCTAGCAATAAGTACTAATGTGACTTAGCTCCCCACAATTGGAGAAAATCAGTGAACTACTCTTATAATCATCAATAAGGTGTCCACTCTTCCCACACTTGAAGCATCTCTTCTTAGAACTCTTGTAGTCAATGGCACAATGACCCGCAGTTTCACACTTAAAGAATTTGACTCAATCGAGAGTATCAACCCCCACTTGGCTTTTTCTCATATGAAACCTTTTGCTTTCTCTTGTCAGCTAGAGCAATATACAGCTTTTCATAATTCTGATTCTTCCCTCTTTTCTCACTAGGACTCTTACAATAAGCAGATCGGGCTCTATTATCCTCATCATAAATCCTACACTTATTCACCAGCATAAGAAACTTACGAATCTCCTGATACCCAATACCTTGCTTGATCTCAAGATGGAATATGCTTCCGAACTTGATACATTTCAATTCTTCAGCTTCTGCATTATTATAGCACGGACAAAAATTCACCAACTATTCGAACTTAGCAGCATACGCATCAAATGTCATATTTCCATGTTTTAACTCAAGGAACTCTATCTCCTTCTTACTGGACATGTATTATGGAAAAACACTTCTCTAAAAATCCATCCCTAAAGACAACCCAAGTAATCTCCGCACGAACAACCTTCAGTCTCTAACGCACATTATCCCACTAGTCTTCAGTCTCCTTTGATAGCATATGAGTACTGAATTGCACCTACTGAACTTTAATGCAAGTCTTCACTCGAAAAATCTTCTCAATCTCTTTAAGTCATGCCTATGCACCCTCTGGATCATATATGCCCTTGAAAATTGGAAAATTGTTTCTTTGAAACTTCCCTAATCCACAGAACTGATCACCATCCTGATTATGCTGACCCTGCAGCGCTTGAGTCATTGCCTCCAAAGCATCAGCGAACGCTCGGTCATTTCTTACTCCTGCCATATTCTGCACACCAATAAACATACATTAGAATAAATATTGCACCGAGAGTGTTCACACACTCATCACATACTAGGGAACAAACAACATTACAAAACCTGGTTGGATGGACCGACCTGCTCTAGTACCACGAATTTAACACCATAATCCCCAAAACTTATATTTAAAGAATTACTCGACAATTTAAGTTGTAACCTCAAAAACCTAACAACAAATTTCAAAATATTTATCAACATGCGGTAGAATATCATATCACAATAACTTTATTTTAAACTTCGTAAATAAAGTATTCAACTTTAAAACACCAAATTCAACTTTAACTCAAAAATATAGCAAACGTCTCATTCTCTGATATCACAAGATCAAAGCACTAAAACAACTAAATAGCGATAAAACAATAAATAAAACGAAGAATTGCTCCAACAAGCCACCTTGCACAACAACTTTACTCCCAATTATCTACAAGATGTTCATGGTGGGCAACATTAAGCAAAAGGGGTGAAAAATAAACTTCAATATAAACTGTGTAAAGAATGCAAAGGTAGAGAAACACACAACACATCATACATTCAATTCACAACCAACATCACCATAATCTTACACCCATTCACAATAATATGTAATTATATGTAATGTGACTCACGACACAATGTGACAAAATGTATGTTGTACTAACTCAACATTTGGTTCTCTCAAGAGCCAGTTCCCCCCTTATGTGAAGGTGAGAAAAATATACACACAAGGGGGAATTGTTGTGTATAGGAAATTTTACTTATTTTTCTTACCTTGTTTCAGAACCTAAGATGTCAAGCTCAGATTTTGATCCAAGTAAGAGGTTGAATCATATCAGAGTCTGACCTCAGAGTTTGTTGCACAACAAAAAGTTATAGCAAAAGTAAATAAAGAGATACACAGTATATCATGGTTCCTCTCAATTGAGATTAGTCCATTCCTCTTGCAGCACAAGATCTTTTTACTATAATCAATAAAATTACAAATGCTTAAGCCAATAACTTAAGACTTCCTGCTCAATCAAACTAGAATAAGACTTCTGTTCAAACTACAGTATAGCGGCAGGAAGCAAAAGATTTGGAAGAATTCCCTCTAGGTTGTATCGTGTCCACATGGATCGGTGAGAGGGAAAGAATATCATTCGATAATCTCTATCTCTCTAAGCTTGGGTTTTAATGGTTTAAATGAGTAAAGTGAGGAAAGTAAAAGATAGTAACAAGTAAATAAGGCATTTTTAGAGAGGAGAAAACTCGTCAGGAATTGTATCTCTTTTAACCCATCAAGTATTAAAAAATCTACCAATCAATTATACGTCACCTAAATCACTCCTCAATATCATCACGTATCACTCACAACTGAGGTTATGTCTAACAGAAAATCGAGAGAACAATTGTGTCGTC